GACATGTAAGAAGTCTTATTTTCCATGCAGTGGGATACCACTGAAAGACTTTAAGCAAGAAGGGGACATTTGAAAAGATCACTTTGATTTTAGGTGGATAATGGAGTCAGGTGGGGGTGGAGAGGTACTGTCTTAGTCTGTTTGGGCTGTTATAACAAAATGCCACAGACTGGGAGGCTTATAAACAACAGCAAATTGATTGCTCACAGTTCAGGAGACTGGGAAGTCCAAGGTCGTGGCACAAGCATGGTCACCGTCTAGAGAAGGCCCTCCTCCTGGTTCATAGCTGGTGGCTTCTCACTGTGTCCTCACATGGTGGAAGGAGCTAGGGTCTCTAGGGCCTTCTTTATAACACTAATCCCATCCATGAGTGCTCCACCCTCATGATGAAAGCACCTCACGAACGCCCCACCACCTCCTAACACCATCACCTTTGGGGGTTAGGATCGCCACATACGAATTTGGGGAGGACATAAACATTTAGACCACAGCAGGCACCAAGAAAGGAGGCAGGGAGGGTAGTTAGAGGTGTTGTAAGTCCAGGTAAGAGTCCAGGTAGTTTGTAGTAAGGTGCTGGCAGGGGAGACAGAGAGAAGTTGATGAATTAGTGACATACTGTGGGTGTAGAACTCAGGAGCCTCAGTAATCCAGGAGCAGACTGACTATCTCCCCAGGAACTCCTCAAGCTTGGTAGCTGGCTAACAGAATCATCTAGGGAGCTATCAAAGACAGATTGCTGAGTCCCATCCCTAAAAGCTTAGGATTCAGTAGTCTGAGGTAGAGCCCAGGAGTCTGAACTCTCCACGAGCCCTTGAGAGACTCTGATACAAGGCGAGGCTTGAAGACAGCATGGATTTCTGCCATTATCCAGGTCGGCTTTATTCCCACACCCTAGATGCTTTGGGCTGTCTCCTCACATGGCCCAGCCAGCACATTAAGAGAGTAGACTAATCTCAAAGCAGTAATAACACATTAGGAAACAGCAATGGATGTCCTAGATTCTGGCTTATTCCAGCAAGGTGAAGACCCCATAGCCAATCTAACATCAAACAGCAGGAGAGCTTGGGGAAATGAGCTCTCCTATTGAACTGACTCTCTAACCTTGTTTTGGATACTTAGCTTTGTTAAGAAAATTTTCTAAAAGTGTGTGGTTTTATCTTTTGTAAAAGGCAGAATGGTAGGCATACATGAATCTTTGGTAATTGGGGTCCTTCTGAGCTTCAGGATTATCTTCATTATTACAGTCTGGAACTGGAGTTGGTGAGTTGAATTGGCTTACAACAGCAGGCTCTGAATGGCAGACACCGAGAGGAGGGGGCTTCAGTGTCCCTCACTCCTAGGATCTCCAATAGCCCCCCACGTCCACCCCAAGCAAGCCCCACAAATAAATATATATATTACATAAAAACAATGTATTTGTGCCTACCAAAGGAAAAAGAGTTTCAAGCCACTTCAAATAAGCACACATTCTAAGTAAATGAGTCCGCTGATCCCTGCTTTTGCTGCCCTGTTTTATGGAATCTCTTACGGAAATTCTGGAACCTTCACTGGCTCCAGGAAGGATCTGATACTAGTCCAAATTTTCTGCCTTATATACTGGTATAAACTTAAAATTATACTAGTTATATTCCGCTTCGGGCCAAGATGGAGTAACAGGGACTAGCTATACCCTCCCACCTGATACAACCAAAAACTGGAAAAATATATGGAAAAAAAACAACTTTTAAGACACTGGATATCAGGCAAATTAAGACAGTGGGAAACGAACAAGGTGAGACCTAAGAACTGCCCCAGCTTACTGTCTTGAAAAAGTTTCCAGGCCATAGGGCGGGGAGGGGGTGAGAGAGATTGATTGTGATGATGGTTTCATGGATGTTTACATAGGACAAGATGTATCAAATTGTACACTTTAAATATTGCAATTTATTGTATGTCAATTATACCTCAATAATGCCATTAAAACAAAATTCTACTAAGAGAGCTTCTTTCCTTGACCTTCTGGCTTTAATTCCTGTTAAAATGGAAATCCCACTGAAGGGGAACCAGTTTAAATTTGAATTACAGTCATGCGCTGTGTAACGATGCTTTGGTCAAGGATGGACTGTACATCCGACGGTGGTCCCAGAGATTACCACCATGTGCCCTAGGTGTGCAGTAGGCTATATCATCCAGGTTTGTGTAAGTACACTCTATGATGTTCGCACAACAAAATCACCTAACGACGCATTTCTCAGAACATATCCCTGTTGTTAAGTGGTGCATGACTATATTAAGTTATCACGTTGTGGTGTCAATAAAAACCCAAGAGCAGAGCTTTATAGGGAGAGCAGGATGCCTACTAGGGAAGGCTAGAGAGGACTGCACAGAGGTGGGAGAGAGGGACCAGAGGGGAAATGGAAACCAACTTGACAAGTGTGTGGACAGCTGGAGCCCACACAGGTGGTTCCGTTGGAAATGTGAGGGGCTGGATTTCAGTTGCCATGATAAATGGGGAGCACTACTGGCAGTTAGCGGACAAGAGCCAGGAGGCTCAAGTCCCACAGTGTGTGGGATCGCTCTGCGTGACAATGAATGGTCCCACACAAAGTGTCAACGGCACCCACTGAGAATCCCTAGTGGAAGGAATTGGGCTACACAGGCTGTTGGTGGCTCCCCATTGCCAGCATTACAGAGGGGTCTCGGTGTGTGTTCTGAGTGGTGGTTTGCAACGCAAAATAGAACACTCACTCGTCAATCTTGTCTTAGCCAGTAAGTTTCTGATGTTTCAGCTTCAAATATAATCAGAACCTCCAAAGCCCTGAGAACCCTGACAAGAACACAGAGACTTTTTTTTTCAAGACTTCTTAGTTTTTTTTTATTTTTTTGGAGTATAATGGACATACAATATTCTATTAGTTTCAGGTGAACATCATAGTGATTCGATACTAATATACATTACGAAATGATGACCATGATAACTCTAGTTACCATCTGTCACCATACAAAGTTACTACATTTTTATAGCTAACTCCTTAAACTCTAAAAACCTTTAAGAAAATTACAGTTACTATAGCCAACTTTCCACCAATTTTCTTGTCCAGAATAGTTGGTTGAAAAGTTAAAATTCTGTATAGCAAATTGGTGATGTGTTCCAAGTAGAAAAAAGAATCTTCCTAAACCAAAAAAAATTTTTTGGTGAGAAAGGAAGTTATAATAAGGAAATTTAGATTGAGAAGAGACCTTGTAGGTCATCCTGATCCAACAGCGAGAGAAGGTGAGGGGAGAGAAAGTGCAGTGGGAAAAGGCCCCTTCTCAGCAACCTAAGTGATTGCACAACATGGTCCACTGCAGGTTTGTGAATATTCCCTGGTTAGGAGTTCGCTTTTTCTTTCTGCAATGTTGTCCTAAGGTGGCTATTTCCCCCACGCCATGACCTGTCTTTCATACCCCAACCCACATTAATTTTCCCCAAGCCTATATATTCCCTCACTCATGGCTCTTAGAATCCTGCTCCCCTCCTCCTCTAAAGTCTAGATACTTTAAAATGTGTAATAGAAGCCTACTTCGAGTTATGCAGCTTAGGAAACGCCTTTCTAAATTTATACCCAGACTTCTCTCCCACTGTACGGATCCCTCTTGACATCCTTATTTCTCTGAAAGGCATCACCTTTCAAGGTGATGAGCTGAGGCAGTCGCCTCAGCTTGAAACTACAGTGGTTTCTCTCTCCATCTCTCTCATGTTCAATCAATTGCCAGTCTTGTAGATTTCGCCTCTGAAATGTCCCTTCCGTCCATCCCTTTGTCTTCATTCCCATGACCACCAGCGTAATTCAGATTCTCCTTACTCCTCACCAGTCTTTGATCTCTCCTGCTTCAATCCATTTTAAGCATAACTGTCAGATTATTTTTCTGTAATAATGGTTTTTATCATATCATTCTCCTGCTCAAAACTTTCAATAGTTTTCTCATATCCCATGAAATGACATGTAAAGTCTTCATCTGGATTTTTAAGACCCTCCAAAGCGCCCAACAGTAAGCCCAATTTACTTTCTAACTTTGTATCTGGTGATCATGTTCTATTTTTATTTATTTATTTATTTATTTATTTATTTATTTATTTATTTATTTTTCTGTGAGGAAGATCAGCCCTGAGCTAACATCTGATGCCAATCTTCCTCTTTTTGCTGAGGAAGATTGGCCCTGAGCTGACATCTGTGCCTGTCTTCCTCTACTTTATATGGGATGCCACCATAGCATGGCTTGACAAGCGGTGCGTCAGTGTGCGCCCGGGATCCGAACCCGCAAACCCCGGGCCTCCGCAGCGGAGCACGTGCACTTAACCACTTGTGCCACCAGGCCGGCCCTGATCATGTTCTGTTTTTAAATTACACTAGACTGCTTACCTTTCCTGATACACGTCCCGTTTTCCTGCCTCAATCTTAGCTTCCACTAGTCCTTCCAACTACAGTATCTCCATCTCCAAGTGCACTACTCCTTTACCTACTGCCATCTGGCATCTAGACTTCTCCCCACGACTAAATGTAATCTTTCCCCTTGTTAAATATCGTTAACAGTTTGCTCAAAACCATTTACGACACGTAGCGTGTGTACTTTGTATTATCTTTATTCACGCAAATGTCATATACCCTGGTTAGAATCAGCTTCTAAAGGGTGGGCACAATGCCATACTCATCTTCGTATCCATTCCAGGGCCTGACACAGTGCCCTACACAGAACCAGAGCTCAATACATGTTTTTGAATTTAATTTTAATCAATTACTTGTTTATGTTGTGACACCTATATATTCAGTTGAAATGAGAAAAATTATACTTCACTACTTAACCAGCTGGACTTGAATTTAAAGAAAGTTCTCTCAAAATACTTTCTTCATTATTACATATATGAGATAAACAGAACTCAGTCCAAAGCCATTAGTATAGAAAAAGCGTTAAAAAAAATTTGAAATGTAAAATAAGTTTTGGTCAGCCAGTTAAAAACATACTCCAAACAACAATCTCACCTGAGACAGGATTCATTCAGACTCCCAGGCTCTTTGCCTCTCCAAAACACAGGGCCATTATTCTCTTCTTTGACTAAAAAAAAAAGTTAGTTGGTCATTAATTGCATAATTTGATTGAATTTAGGAAGAAGATGCAGTCACATGTACTGATCTGATGAGTGTTCATAAATTCTCAAAAAACTTACAAGTACGAAATTATAAGCTGGGTAGCATGAGGGAACAAAAAGAACTTTGGTTTTGACATTAAAACATGTGCTAAAGTTCAGACTCTTGTAAAGTGTACACTTTACAAGTTACTTTATTGCTCCGACCTCAGCGTCTTCCTTTGTAAAAATGAGGATGATAATTCTGTGAATGAAAATGAGACAATGTGTATAAAAATGACTCATGCGATGCCTGGCAGAGTAGGTATACAATAAACATTAGCCTGATTTAAAGCAAAAATCAAAGAACCAATCATAATTTACATCAAGAAAACTGTCACGTCCTCCCCATTATGTGAGTGTATTTTGTTTATTTATTAGCAGGGATAAATAATAATAGTACCTAATAAGTATTCTGAACAAGAACCAAATATATGTTTCCATAAGCTACTGCAAGAGGTCAGTATGAGCTACAATTCTAACCTCCAATGGCAACTTGTGTTCCCTGTCACAGCACCTCCCATCCCTGCAGAAGAAGAGCTATGAGTCAGGGATGCACAGGCCACACAGAGAAAGGGAGGGAACGAGGGAAGGCCCTTGCTGCCACACAGAATCCCTTTTGGGGATTTCCCTGGCTCTCTTAGCTGCTTCCTTTCTTGGCTTGCTTGCTTCCCTTTCCTCCTCTCTTCCCTCCTTTTTTTTTCTCAATTTGTTTTTCTTTTGAGATAAAATTTACATAAAATGAAATGCAAAACCTTAAGTGTACTTTCACTGAGTTTGACCCATTTCCTTTTGAACTGCTCTGTGCAACTCTTCTCTCTCACTCCCGTGGGTCTGAGAGCAGCCCAAGGCACCTCCATGCTTGGAAGAAAGAACTCGCTCACTTAAGAGAGTCAAAGACCATGCCGGGTGGGGTCTACAGAAAGATGGAGGGTGTGGGCCATTAAAGCTTGCTCTGGTCTGGGCATAAGAGGTCAACACGGCCCCCCTGAAGTCCAGCATAGCTCATCAGAATCGGAGACCACCTGGGGATTTGAGGCAAAAGGCCTGATGAGAAAAAGCGTTCTTCATGAATCTGCAGCTGCAGGGGCTCTCTGTTGGAGGGGTCAGGGTGTAGTGGTCATCTGTCATTGTGTCTTCCCAGCACCTCCTTTCTTTGAGGAACTGTACTCTTCCTATAGTTACCACGGTGCCCCCATCTTTAAACAGAAAAAGATTGCTCCTTCCATGAAACTAATGATTAAGCTTCAGTGTTCCTCACTTGCCTGAATTCCTTCCAAAGTCTTAGGAGAGGCCCTAACAATGTGTTCACATGGTCAAATGTTTTTGTAAAATATGCAAAGGGAAGATGTTTCAACCACAATCATTTAAGACCATAGGCTCATCCCACTTCGATTTTTCTTTGGTCTCACTTCCCCTCTTGGGAGTGGCCATAGGCACTTTATATTTGTGATTTCTTCTGCCCAGGTTTCTACAGAGTGCTGAAGTCATATTTGCTGTTTTAACTCTTTTTCTCAAGGAGGGCTCTACAAATTGTATGAGTTTCAGTTCCCACAAAATCTGGATCCACCTCTGCCCTAGCCATAGCTGACTGGTCTGGAGTGGGCTTCTGATCCAAGTTGGGCCAATCAATGTCTCCCCCTAGACTTGTGACATCTGGACCTGAAAGGCAAAGTTAGGAGTCTTTGAAGCTGGCTGGGCCCTAGAAGAAGGTCCCCCACAGGCTGTTCAGGCCCTGGAACAGGTCCCTAGGTTTCTGGTTTTCAACTATTTGGCTCTTCTGTTCCCCTTTTGATTCCCTAAGAGACTCCAAAAATCCTTCAATAAATTCCCTTTGGCATTAAGATAGGCAGAAACAGTTTTTTCTGCTTGCAAGCTAAGAAGCTTTACTAAAAAGTAAGTGTTTAAGACTCCAATTATCATAGAAACTTCTAAGAGTAGGCATTTCACAAATGTGGGTACTAAATGTGATACAAATAATGCCTTTGATTATTGCTGGAATTAAGGAGAACATATTAGCACTTGTGGCCCAGAGGTCAGACAGGTGTGAGCCTATCTCTTGCTTCAGGACCACATATTACAGAATATGTAGGGGGTGAACCACTGGGGTCCTGGGTATACAGCGATACCCAACCCAGGGAACAAGCAACTCGGAGGAGAACTGGAAACAGAGAGCACGGCATTGCTGGCGAGCTGGGAAGGGGAAGGAGATCTCTGAGGCTTCTCTGTTAGGAAGAATGATCCTGTACCTAGGATGAAGTTGCCTCTTAAGCCTGATTTCTCCCAAGTTCACTAACCAATCTTGAACTTTCTCTTTTTTGTGCGAGGTCATTAAAAAGTTATGACAAAAAACAACTTTAGTGTCAATGTCTCTGCCTCTCTTTATCTTAGCTTTAAATTTTAATTCGTAACAATGGCGTGGAGCATCTTAGGACCCTCTCTGCTCTCCAGGGAATAATGAAGTACAGCTTGATCTCTGTTTCTACACATGGTAGAATGTTTGGTCTCCTGGATGCCACTGACCAGAGTCTGGCAGCTATACGGCAATGATGACAAGAGAGCCTGAATACAGATCCTAGAGAATAGAGTTGTCTGCCAGTGTACTCTCTGGTGGGCGCGCAGCAGCTCAGACTCTTCCTCAGGAGCTAAGGTCTGCAGTCCTTCAGCATTTAGCACAACGTACATCTGATGGCATGTTCAGTAGTGCTGGTCAGCTGAGGAACTTTCTTAGAAGGGACACTACAAAAAGGATGCATCTTCTTTGTGAACTGCAAGAGGTTTGATTATTTTTGTCAAAATCCTATTCCCGGCGGGAAGACTGCCGAGCTTATGTAAAAATTACCCACTAAACAGAGACTCATCAGTGCCTTGTTGTTTTAGTTTTACCCCACACATCACTGGTTTTAGAGAATGTTTAGGTTTTAGGTTTAAAATAAAAATTATATCTATATACACATATATACATATATATGTAAAACTTAGGTTCCATTTACATTTCATTAAATTATTATGTTTCATTCTAGTTTGGGGATTAGTCTACCTTACATTATGCCAATGTTTCAAAAGATACCACTAAAGCCATTAAGGTCTTTTATATGATACTAGAGCTGCAATGACCAATTTGGTAGTCACTAGCCACCCGCGGCTATTTAAATTAAATTAAATTAAATTATTCAGTTAGTAGCACTAGTCACATCACAAGTGCTCAGTGGCCACCGGCAGTAGATGGCTACTGTATCAGACATCGTTAGACTAGATATAGAACAATTCCATCATTGCAGAAGGTTCTATTCGACAGTGCTGTTCTAGAATGTACCTGAAACTCAGGGGCTAATAACTCAAGTCATTCTAGAGCTTTAGCTGCTAATGCAGTTCACCACTGTTGCTCTGCCTGTCAGCATTGTTCATGTAGAGTTTAATAACCATCCTCTTTCATCTACACATAAAAAGTACAATTCAAAGTGCTAACTGTGGCCCATATAAGGAGACGTGTGTACTATGGAGAAAAGTTTCTTTTTCTGTACATCTCCAGAAAAGCAGGGCCTAATTAGGAATCCTGTTAAATGTGTGATGATTAAACTAGGTATTTTTACGATAAATGATTTGCAATTTTGAGCTTCCTTTGTTGACTGGAGTGTGAGCACCTTTGCCACATGACACAAATATTCTCTAGGCTTTCACCCAAGAGGTTTGGAGCAAGTTCTAATAATTATCTTTATTTAAATGCTCAGTAGTTAATGTGTGCTGCTTCTCCAGGCGTGTCATCATTATTAACACTGAGGACTCCAGTAACAACTACTGTCAAATAGATGGTCAGGCAGGTGTGAGCCTATCTCTTGCGTCAGGACCACACATTACAGAATGTCTAGGGGGTGAACCACTGGGTATACAGCGATACCTAACCCTGGGAACAAGCAGCTTGAAGGAGACCAGGAATCAGTGCTTCACTGTTGGCATGTGGGGAAGGGGCAATGTTTTTGTCCTCTAATGTGTGCTATGTATGACTCCTTGTGACAGGAGCAGTTTTGTATTTTCAAAAGCCCCTGCGAAAAAGTGTCAGATGGTACCTTCAAGGAGGGGGGAGCTAATTCTATGAATAGCCATGTGCATGAACATAAGATAAGGTTTTTTAAAACTCCTCACTGCTTTTAACATCATTTGCAAAGTTTCTAGGAATTTGAATTCCATAAAACTTCTACCTGTAATTGGCTTCTTTAATTTTTTTTTTAATTTTTTTTTTTTCTTATTTATTTCCCCCCAAAGCCCCAGCAGATAGTTGTAGGTCATAGCTGCACATCCTTCTAGTTGCTGTATGTGGGACGCGGCCTCAGCATGGCCGGAGAAGTGGTGCGTCGGTGCGCGCCCGGGATCGAACCCGGGCCGCCAGCAGCGGAGCGCGCCCACTTAACCGCTAAGCCACGGGGCCGGCCCTGTAATTGGCTTCTTTAATGTGTGTTTTTATCTCCTTATACATGTTGGGAGAAAAAAAAAGCCAAGAATAATTATGCTTGTGGACAAGGATACATATGCATTTAAGGCAACCAACACCAGTTAGGTATCCTAATTAGTGTGACAAGAGACCTGGTGAGCAACCGGGCATTTAATAAGTCCGCTAATTACAACAGCTTCTACAAACAGTTGCCATGCCATAGAGGGTCAGGGTGGAAAGGGGCTCGTCCGTGAGCGTGTACAAACATCGTCAATTTTCTCACACTCTGTAGCTACTCAGTACTCCACCAGGCTCTGGGTCTGACTTGGGGTGAAGTCTAGTGAAGAGTGAACGGGCTGCTCTGGGCTGGTCTAGCAACACGGGCTAGATATCAGAAGCAGAAGGGCCTACCCAGGACCCTCTCGGACCTCATCCTTCCTGTCTCCTTCTATGCTAAAGATGCGATCTCAACAGCTGACTGCTTTCCTGCTGTGTGCCCAGCCCTGCCCACATTATTTCATGTAATACAGCAGCCCTGTGAAGCTACTAATAGAGACGAGGAAACCAAGGCTCACAAAGGCTGAATGACTTGCAGACAGTCACACAGCCGGGAAAGGTGAGAGCCAGAATTCAAATCTGGGCTTAGCTGCGTCCCAAGTCCATGCTCTTTCTCTCTGCTTTTCACCCACTCCCAATACAGGATAGATACCGTAAGGGGCTCCTTTATATATATCACATTTCACAGACACATCCATATATATAAAATAAGACTATGGAAGTAAATAGTGTGATGCTGAACTATATATTCTATTTTATTTTTAGCCATTCGTCCTTGGATTTTCAAAACTTCACAAGAAAGGTTTAGGTAAAGCCCAAATGTGAAACACAAACGCAGGGCAGCTCTGGTTGAGTCGGGTGAGCTCTGCAAGCCCTGAATCCTCATCCTCCCCTCCCTTCCCCATCCCACGGTGGATCTTCTAGATCTCCTTGGGCATGATGGGAAAATCACCTGCACCAGACGCTGAGCTCCCTAAAAACAAGATCTAAGGATGACATTCATCTTTTTCTCTAGGTGTGAACCATAGTTCTCGGATGAACAGATTCCCAATCCATATTTTTGAATGAAGAGTGAATGCTGTTAGTAACCAAAATAAACCATAATTATCAGGGCAGGACCCTGTGGCTTCCCTTGATGGTGGGAGGCCCAAGGTTCACAGAGACAACTCTCAGGAGTTTTCCTAAAGCCAGGTTCACAATCTTTCCAGTTACCCTCTGCACTTCTTCACCAGGGTTTTCATTAAAATCCGTGGTTGTTAATAAGGTTATTAAAATCAAATAAGAAATGACCAAATGGAATCCAGATTCTAATTCATTGGTTTTTTTAAACTAATATTTAGTGAACACACTTCTTTTTCTATTTTTCTTTCTTTGTTTCTTTCCCCTCCCTCTCTTCCTTTCTTTCCACTCCTTTCTTTCTTTCCTTCCTTTCCACATATCCTTATTCATGGCAAACTATGTCTGGACACTATGCTGCTGATAACAGATTAGTCAGCTCATCCTCAATGTAAAGAACATTATATTCTCAACATCACTAATTGTCAGAGAAATGCAAATCAAAGCCACAATGAGATATCACCTCACCTGTTAGAATGGCTATTATCAAAAAGTCAAAAGATAACAAGTGTTGGCGAGGATGTGGAGAAAAGAGAATCCTGTGCACTGTTGGTGGGAATATAAACTCGTACAGCCACTATGGAAAACAGTATGGAGGTTCCTCAAAAAACTAAAAATAGAACTACCATATGATCCAGCAATCCCACTTCTGGGTATACATCTGAAGGAAATAAAATCACTATCTCAAAGAGATATCTGCACTCCCATGTTAATAGCAGCATTATTTACAGTAGCCAAGACATGGAGACAACCTAAGGATCCAGCAACAGTTGAATGGATAAATAAAATGTGGGGTGTGCGATGCAATATAATTCAGCCTTAAAATATGTAATATTATTCAACTTTAAAAAAGAAGGAAATCCTGCCATTTGTGACAACATGGATGAACCTAGAGGCCATTGTGCTAGGTGAAATAAACCAGACACAGAAAGACAAATACTACATAGTCTCACTTATGTGGAATCTGAAAAACGTGAACCGGGGGCCAGCCCAGTGGTGTAGTGGTTAAGTTCACGAGCTCTGCTTCAGGGGCCTGGGGTTCACTGATTCAGATCCTGGGCTCGGACCTATACACCACTCCTCAAGCCATGCTGTGACGGCATCCCATGTACAAAAGTAGAGGAAGATTGGCACAGATGTTAGCTCAGGGACCATCTTCCTCAAGCAAAAAAAAAAGAGGAAGATTGGCAACAGATGTTAGCTCAGGGCCAATCTTCCTCACCAAAAAAAAAAAATAATAATAATAATAAAGGTGAACTCACAGTAACAGCTAGTAGAATGGCGGTTACCAGGGGCTGGGGGTGAGGGGAAAACGCAGATGCTGGTCAAAGGGTACAAACTGTCAGTTATAAGATAAATAAGTTCTGGAGATCAAGATGAACAGCATGGTGACTGTAGTTAACAATAATGTATTGTACACTTGAAATTTGCAAAGAGTAAATCTCAAGTGTTCTCACCACAAAAACAAAAAAAAAGGTAACTATGTGACATGATGGATATCTTAACCAGCCTGATTGTGCTGATCATTTCACACTGTATACATATATCAAAACATCACATTGTACACCTTAAATATATTCAATTTTTATTTGTCATACCTCAATAAAGCTGGGGAGGAAAAAAAGAACATTATCTTTTTTGTCTCATAAAGAAATGTATCTTTTCTTATGTCGCTTTAAGAAATATACATTACATACCTTTTTTGTTGTTAGGATTGGCATGATGAAATGGAAATAAGAATTTCCTGACACCTTTTGATTTCTCACACTCTTTTTTCAAAACACTTGAAGAGTAGATAATACGAATGTGTTGGTTGGTTTCTCTACCTGGTGAACTCAAAAATTCTGGGTCATCATCAATCTGAAAAAAAAATTGATTGATCTGATTGAAGACAAATACAACTGCTTATCTAATCTGGGATAATAAGTCCCCCAAGCTTAGGGCAAGTTTAAACTGCATTCTTTCTTTTTGTTTTTTTCCCCGGGAAGTCTTTCCTCTTCTCATTGTTAGGTTTCCCAATTCCTCGTCTATTTGTTCTAGTCCTTACTAAAAATGTGCTCAGCAACAGAACCCAAGAAACTATTTACACTATTGGATTGCTAAATAAATAGTAACAGTGTTTTTGTTTGTTAAAATATATCCCTCCCCACTTCTATTTTGAAAATAGATTTTTTTCTAAAAGGTCTCAAATATGTTCGATTAATTGGGTTTAAACTAGGATTTTTCTATGCAAGAGACAATGTCCATTTGTAGGGAACAGTCTACAAACATTCTGTGAATTCAAACATCTAGGTTTGAACTATTCTAAGTTTCCTGCTCCTAAATAGCTCTCTCTTCTCTCCAAGGTACCCTGTTTTCTATTCTTAATTAGAAAGGGAAAAGGTCTCAATAAATACTTAGGATTTTTAGATCTTCTCTTTAACAACCTACTTCCCTTTTTATGACAGGTAGGCAGCAATAGCATCTGACTGAAAAGTGAAGCCAGAGAGTCACCAGAGGCTGATTAAAGCCATTAATTCAAGCATCAGGAGGCATTCCTCTCTAGGCTTTTTGCAAGTACTCACAATTTGGGTAAAAATGTTTCCTGTGATCATCCAGTTTCACCATTCTCTTTTCACAAATATGTGAAGGAAATATCAAATAATAATAATAATAATTTAAAAATATAATTCAGAGTAATTAAAGATAGGAAGATGGATTAATGAAAAGCTATCAGGATCTACTTAAATTTAATTTTCTAAATTATTTTCACATATATAGAGTTATGTAATTCAAACCAGGCTAATGAAGCATAGCCCAGTGGAGGTCTTCAGGGGATGTGCTTTAGTTAATAATAAAGTTTTATAGTTAGTAAAGGAATTCTCTTCTGCACAAAAGATTCTTTATAAAAGCCTTAAGTTATTTGAAACCTGCAAAGATATGTTTATAAAATTAGAGTCATATTATACATATAGCTAAGTTTTTTGTTTGTTTTGTGTAACTTTGTATTATGAATATTTTCCTCTTGCCTTTGTCAGGAAAAAATTATGAAAGGCTTTGAGATCGGCAAAAAAGATTATCCAGGTGTTCTCCACCTTTTATTGTCTTTGAGCTGTTTTAAAACTCTGTAAGTTGTAGAAAACTGGTAATAACACAAATGATTCTTGTTCATACTGATACAAATCGATAGTGTCCAGTGGAATACAACTTATTACCGCCCTTTGATAAAAAGAACAGCTCTTGGACATCTGGACCAGTGAGATTTTGTGTTTCTATGTTTACTGCTCTGAAACTATAAGCACTTTTGGTATCTAGGTGTCTGTAATTTAGAACAGCCTTTACCTCTTGTTGTGTTATTGGGTATATTTTCCTATTTCCAGAGGGTATTAATAAATTATTTATAAAGACTCTTAAAGGAACTCTGTCTGATGGCTGGTAGAGATAAATAAGCACTTAAGTAAAATGTTTCTGCCATTTTCAAAAAATAAGGAAATTTAACATCTAGTACTTTAAATGTGCTGTACTTAAGAAAACTATTCTTACAAGAACAAACTCAGAAGTCTTAAGAATATAAGTTTATGTAATTAAGGTATGTCTTTGGCAAAAAAGAAAAGTTTAATAATTTTGGCTTAATAAAAACAGCTATATCTTAAGCCAGCCCTGAAGGTCTAGTGGTTAAAATTTGGCACACTCTGCTTCAGTGGCCCGGGTTTGGTTCCACAGGCATGGAACCACACCACTTGTCTGTCAGTAGCCATGCTGTGGCGGTGACTCACATGGAAGAACTAGAAGGATTTACAACTAGTATACATACAACTATGTACTAGGGCTTTGGGGAGGAAAAAAAAAAAAGAGAGGAAGATTGGCAACAGATGTTAGCTCAGGGTAAATCTTTCCCTTCCCAAAAAAAACCAGGGGCCAGCCCCATGGCCTAGTGGTTACGTTCGGCACACTTCACTTCGGTGGCCCAGGTTCAATTCCCAGGCATGGACCTACACCACTTATCAGTGGCCATGCTGTGGCGGCAACTCACTACAAAATAGAGGAAGATTGGCACAGATGTTAGCTCAGGGCAAATCTTCCTCAAGCAAAAAGAGGAAGATCCGCAACAGACGTTAGCTCAGGGCGAATCTTCCTCAGCAAAAAAAAAAAAAAAAAAAAAAAACCAGCTATATCTTCTCAGATTTATCAGTGTTACATAACAATACATACATCTTATTCTACTGGGATTTGTTTTTCCTAAATTTATACAGATTTACTAATCAAATAAGCCATTATTACTCATACATAATGTTAAAAACTAT